TCAACACTTTCTTCTTGATGAGTTTCAGTAAGAATCCCAGGTATCAAATTTCACATGTAAATACTTTGGTGTATATCTTTAACAGATAAAAACTTTGTAAATATTAACCACAATACCATTATCCCATTCCAACAACCTAATTTCTTAACATCATTCACTACTCAGTGTTGTAGTGGGGTTTCTTATCTTTTTTCTTTGTTTTTATTTTCAAACATATATTATTATATTTTTTCCATTACTTTTTAGTCCCTTTATGCACCCTTCCCCCCAGCAATCACTACCCTATTGACCATATTCATGAGTCCTTTTTTGTTTTGCTTAATGCCTCCACCCCCTCAACTCCCTGCCACTAGCTGTTGTCTGTCTTCATCTGTAAGTCTGTCTCTGTTTTGCTTCTTAGTTCCATTTATTCATGAGAATCCACATATGAGTGAAATCACATGGTATTTGTTTTTTTCCACCTGGCTTATTTCACTTAGCATAATGTTCTTCAGGTCCATCCATAATGTTGCAAAGGGTAAACTTTTCTTCTTTTTTTACAGCCAACTGGAATTCCATTATGTAAATGCCCCACAGTTGTTTTATCCACTCATTTATTGATGGACACTCCAGTTGCTTCTGTCTTGGCAATTGTAAATAACACTACAATGAACATAAGGGTGCTTACGTTCTTTTGACTAAGTGTTTTGGGTTCCTTCAGATATATTCCCAGAAGCAGGATTTCTGGGTCAAAGGCAGATCCATTTTTAATTTTTTGAGGTATCTCCATACTGCTTTCCATGGTGGCTACACAAGTCTGCATTCCCACCAACAGTGCAAAAGTGTTCCCCTTTCTCCACATCCTCACCAGCACTTATTGTTTGTTGATTTGATGATGGCCATTCTGACAGGTGTGAGATGTTACCTCATTGTGGTTTTTAATTGCTATTCTCTGGTGATTAGTCGAGTTGAGTGTCTTTTCACATATCTATCTGTATGTCCTCTTTGGATAAGGGTCTGTTCAAGTCCTTTGCCCATTTTTAATTGGGATATTTGGGTGTGTGTTTTTTTTGTTATTTTCTGTGTTGAGTTTTGTATGTACTTCATAAATTTTGAATATTAACCCCTTATCAGAATGTATAAGCCATATGTTCTCCCATTCTGTGGGTTTTTTATTTTGTTGACTATTTCCTTTGCAGTGCAAAACCTTCTTAATTTGATGTCGTTCCATTTATTTATATTTTGTTTCCCTTGCCTGGGGAGATATACCCAATGAAAAATTTCTACAAGAAATGTCTGAAATTTTGCTGCCTATGTTTTCTTCTAGGATTTTTATGCTTTTAGGTCTAAGGTTTAAGTCTGTTCTACACATTCTCTGATTGAAATGGTTTGGAGGCATTTTAGTATGTCATGGAAAAGCTGCTATACTAAAAGAATAATCTCCATCCTAAAAACACATCTAATGGCTTCAGAGTACCCCAGAGGAGCTTGTGTCGATGGCTGGGAGATACAAGGCAAATAAACTGAAAAAAGAAGTGGAAAAAAATTAAGACCCCAAGGAAAACCCTGGAAGTTTTATTATTAATGTTTACATCAAAAAGTGGTACCAACCTACTTATAAGAGGTAACATTTGATTAATAGATGGTCTTTCAAATGCCTGTTTTCTGTAATTAGGCTTTGTTAGTATGTTTACTGCAGTCAGCATTATCTCTAGGAGTTATTAACGTAATGAATTATTAGGTGTTTTTCTTTACCTAAAGTTACCTAACTTCCAGTTATTATATCTTATTTAAAGTTAGAAGTATTCAGAGTTAAGAAAATAAACTTTAGGTTGTACAGAAAGATCAACAATGTAATGGAGTTGGTCAAGGTATTAACTGTCATAACCTCTTCTGAGCAACTTGGTAATGTATCAATTAAAACACATATGCCTTTTGATCCAGCAATTCCTCTTCTAAGAATATATTCTGTAAATATGTCTGCACGTACAAGTGAAGATTTATTAAGCATTATTTGTAGTTGGAAAAGACTATTATCTAAATGTCCAATAGGGCACCTTGTGAATAACTGTGGAGAAAATATTTTTGCAAATCATATTTCTGGTTAGGAATTAATATGCACAATATAGAGAACTCCTAAAACTGAACAGAAACAAACAACTCCACTAAAAATGAGCAAAAGATTTGAAGACATTTCTCCAGAGAAGATATACAGGATGGGGCAAAAGTAGGTCTACAGTTGTGAGTACATGAAACACTTTACTTTTGTATTAGTATGCACTAATTATTGTAATATTTCCCATACTTTTGCCTACATTTGCCCAACCCCGTATGAATGGCCAAGAAACATATGAAAAGGTGCTCAGTTTCATCACTGGGGAAATGCAAATCCAAACCACAAGAAAATTACTTCACACCCATGAGGGATGTATCAGTGTTGGCGAGGATGTGGAGAAACCACAACCCTTGTGCACTGTTGGTGGGATTGTAAAACAGTGCATCCCCAATCCAAAATATGGCAGCTCCTCAAAAATTAAAACTACAACCCAGCAAACCTTCTTCTGAGTATACATCCAAACGATTTGAAAGCAGGCTCCCTCAAAGGTATTTGTACACCTGTGTGCATAGCAGCCTTATTCATAATAGCCAAAAGGTGGCGGCAGCCCTGCTGTGAATGAATGGATAAACAAAGTGGTGTGTAAGAAGAAATTCTGACACACGCCACAGAAGGGATGACCCTTGAGGACATTATGTGAAAGGATATTATGCTGAGTGAGCACAAATACCGTGTGATGCCACTTACATGGGGTCTAGGGTAGCTGATGAAGAGTGACAAAGTAGAATGGTGGTTGCCAGGAGCTGGTGCGGGGAGGGAAATGGGGAAATGTTTACTGGGTATAGAGGTTTGGTTTAGCAAGATGAAAGAGTTCTAGGTAACTTTGTTGACCAGTGTCATCCCAATAAATTCACTGAAAATGAAAAGAAATTCTGGAGATTGGTTGTAGAACAATGAATATATCTTAACACTTTAACACTACTGAATCATTACTTAAAAATGGTTAGGATGGTTAAGTTTTGTTATGTATTTCATCACAATTAAAAGTGTTTTAAAAGATTTGGGAACAGCAGTTTATGTTTTTTACTACTTATTTTTTCAGAATTCGGGTTCTTTGGAGATACACTAAACTATGGGAAGTGTGGAGACGTGCCGGCAGTGTTTGGAAAAGACCTGACTAGTTCTTAATACAACAGTGTTTTAAATGTAGAATTGAAGATGTTATACTTTCTTTAATAAAAATCAAAAGTATTTAACTTGAAAATCTTTTTCATGCATATTAAGGAATGTACCATTAAGCTTTTTTCACCTTTTACTATTTTTATTTAAAAAATATAAAAGTAAAGGTTGTCTCCTGTAATGTTGCTGTATTGAGGAAAATCTGTAAAGGGTTAAAGGTTGTTTGCATACTGTCATGCCAATGAAAAAGACTGTTAACAAATAAAGATTTGTCTATGATATAAAGGTCAGCTGTCTCTGTCTTCATGCACAGCCCTTTAATTCTGTGTTTACTGAAGAGTATTTCATTCGGGGGATTCCTTCCTTAAGTGATCACACTTCCCCTACTTTGAAATGACACAGTAAAAGTTTCGTGGGGACAAAATAGGCAACAGCTGTTTCTTACATTTTAGCCCACAGCTCCATGCTAAAATGAATCCTAGGAAAGTCATTCATTTGCATGAAAGCTTCTTTGACTGATGAGACTCCCCAACTTTCCCTAACAGTTTCATGTACAGTGTCCTGTGTTCCACATATGACAGCTGCTTCAATTAACATTTAGTGCTCATACAGGTACTTATATTTATATATAGTTAGGTCTTCAGCATCTCATCTTACATTATTCCTGCAGTAATAGTTTCCAGGTATGGCATTAATAAGATTAGTAAGAAAACAGAAAGGAAATAAGGGTAAAAGCATAAATTAATGAATTAAAAAATACAGAGCTCAGTGAAAATCCACACCTGGCTCTTCATTAAGACCCACCAAACAGACAAATGTCTGGCAAGTCTGAGTGGCTGGGGAGATCAGCTGTCCCCACTCTAAGTACCTGAGGGAAACAGGGGCCTAAAATTTTAAGAACAGTGTACATAACATTATTTCAGCAACCAGGAGTTCAAAAGCTTGACTATATTTTCCCAAGTTACCAAAATTAACTCAGGTCATTAACCTGAACAGACAAAACAGAAGAAACACGAAAGGTAATCAGACACCTTCAACAAGCGAGTAAGTCCTGCATACCAGAACATTAAAAAAGATGAGTTTTAGAAAGCTCAGTTTATAAAGCTAGCATAACTGGTATCAAAACTGAAAAATAGCATTAAATCAAGCCATTGTCCCTTCAGTACCTAAATAAAATCTCTAGAAAATAACAACAATCTGAACGTTGCAGTGGAACAAAATGCAAACACCAGAAAGAATGAGGCAGTTCTGTCGTTCCAGATGTGCAGCCCAGGTTCATACTACCTCGGTGGTCCGAGAAATCTCCTGAAGTACTCCTGATTTGAGGAGCTTCTTTTGCTGACTGCTAATGTCCCCCGGAAGCCTGGCAAATGCAAACAAATCCTCTCCAGAGGGAGGCACCTACATACTAGACCAAAAGGAAATCTCCACCAATAATTCTTTTAAATCCTCACCTGCAGACATCCATATTGATTTTAGGGAGGGGAAGGGAGAAAGAGAAACATCGATGACAGAAACATTGATCAGCCGCCTCCTTTAGGTGCTCCAGGGTGGACAGAACCTGCAGCCAAGGCAAAAGTCCTGACCGGGAATCTTACCTACAACCTTTCAGTTTAGTAAAGAAACAGCAACTGCCTCTAAGTTAAAATGCTGTCTGAGCACAGAGAAGAAAGGGTGACATTTTATTCCACACCTGTTTCAGTTTCATACCATGTTATGTATCACCTTTCCAGAAACATATATAAAAGTGTTACTAAAAAATACATCTTTTATATTTACCCACATGTATTAACTTAATATTTTCCTGTAAGATTACAAATTTCCTGAGACATGTAAAGACAATGTAGAACTTATTTCTTCATTTCAATCTTACCTATCCTAACACTGAGGACAGGGCACCACTTCCAAATATATTTGTATGTTGAACAAAGCCCACCAGTTTAATGGAGGCTGTGATCATTTCTACTACTGTCTTCTGCAACCTTCCGCACATTTGTGCCAGGAGAAAGGTGGTAATAAGAAAAAGCGGTGTTTGTTCAATAAGTGCTTGACAACTTTAACTGATACGTATTTTGTCCTTTTCATTCCAATCTGGTAAAGCTTTTAGATTTTAAATACTCTTTTTGCTTTGTATTCCTTGACTAATTTCTTTTCCCAAAACAATCAAGCCTTTTATAATAGAGTTTATTAAGACAAATGGAGTTAAATAGTTGTTTACACTCATTTTCATCAATCATTGCTGTGACAAATTTCAAACATTCCAATTATTATAAAGTTCCTTGAATTCTTTACTCTTTTTAAAAATATAATTTCAAGATTCTTTAAAAACTGGAAATCCATTGTTTCTTTCATATTCAATTTCCTTTAACAGAAATTCTTTACTTATTTTGTCAACTTTGTCTTGAGAGAATAGATTGTGTCCAGGAATAAAATAATTAATAAGACGGTCCCTCCTGAGACACTGAAGGAAACCCTCCAGACACCGGTCAAAGCAGAGCTCCAGGTCTCCGGGCTGCCACTGACTGTCTTCTGGGTGATGGGTGCATGCATGAAAGAAGGCAGTTTTCACATGATAAGAACAGAATTTCTTCAGTTCCTTTCGGTGTCCATGTTTCTTTTTCAGCTGTTCTAAAAGATACTTCATCAGTTTTAAACAATCTTTCCTGTTGAATAAAAAAAGAAAACCATTGACTTTTACTTATTTACAACATCCTTCATTCCAAGAAGAGCTTTAAGCATCTTCCAGGAAGATACAATAAACAATGCAGATAGTATAATTCATATAAAGACACAAAAAAATAAAGAAATAGAAATATAATTATAGTTACTCTAAAACCTATGTCTTCAAATATATAAAATCTCAAGAACATATTTTTCTCTCCACTTCCCCATTCCTAACTTAAATATTTTATTGAATCAGGATTAATTCAACTGTGAAACTGGCAGAGATTTAAATTATTCAGCCAATCATTTTGCTTTGTTAGGCTACAAATATTTATATTACCCATCCAGTTATTTAGCAGTTAACAAAAGTTAATGTTGTCAAAAATATGTAACCACATGAGCAAACATCTTTCTCACTGCTGGCTCCAAGGCCTGCATGCGATGCCTTGAAGAGCCTCCTGTGCCTGCTTGTTGGGCTTTCTTGTTCTGACCTTTTTATTTTTAAATGAAAAATAGTGTATTGGTTATTACAATGATTTTTAACATGGTATTTAAATTATATTTGTTTATTTATCAGCGATATTTTTATTGTTGTTCAAGTGCCATTGTCTCTACTTCTCCCCACCATTCCCCCCACCCCCCATCCCTCCCTAGATCCTACCTGCCTTTGCCTTTGTCCGTGTGTCCTTTGTACAGGTTCCTTGATGACCCTTCCCTGTTTTCCCCCCCTTATACCTTCCCTCCTCCTCTTTGGTTAATGTCAGTTTGTTCTTATTTCAATGTTTCTGGTTATATTTTGCTCGCTTGCTTGTTGTGTTGATAAGGTTTCACTTATAGGTGAGATCATATGGTATTTGTCTTTCACTGCCTGGCTTATGTCACTTAGCATAATGCTCTGGCCTTTTAACTTTTGTGACCATTATACTGGGCAACCTGAGAAACTCACATGAACAATTCCCTTTCACTCTCATTTCTTTATGGTGTGTGTGCCACCAAGAAAAATAACTGCCCGTCTCTCAGTGTTGTTTCAAATTTAGCCAGTCAGTCCCTGGCCTTCAGTGTAGTTAAACCATCTCAACGCAAGCACCAGGATCCAGAGGAGTGAACCTCTGGTGCCTTCCTGTTGCAGGACATTAGCATTCATTACCTGAAGTAACCAGAATACTGAGACACAACCAGCTGTCATGGCTACTCATGGCTGGTGTTCACACCCTCTTCTTCTGTTCTCCTGATACATCCATCTGATCCGGGTTCAGGACTATGGTCCCTGGCCTTGACTTCTAACAACACTCTCCCTTGGTCCCTTGGAGCTGGCTTCCCTGGTTTCATGCGCACCCTCTAGATGATGCTCCAGGTGGGTCCAGCCACGGGCTCACCTCAGGACTCACCCAGCAATGATCATCTTTAGGTCTGAGTTATGGAGTCAATTAAAAAGACATTCCATATATAAGCCCTCATCGAACAATATAAGAAGGTACCTGCAACATCTCACGCCATCAGTTTCACAGCATGTTTTACATTGTCCGTGATTTTTCAAAATGTCCTTTTCAATGTGAGAGAAGGATAGCCGCCAGGTGTTCTCTTAATTTCCAAAAGAAAAACAGAAAAGCACGTTACCAAAAACGTCCACATACAAACAATACAACATATAAGTGACTTTGTTCATTAAAATATCATTCTCAAAAATTTCTAGAAGAGAGTCCCAAGGAAGTGAACAGATAAATAATGCAATTACATTTTAAAACAAGTCATTTGAAGCAAACAATGGACTGAGATAAGAAAAAATGGTGGGAGGGGGCTTCATATAGTTAGCCATGTAAGATGCATTACCTTCTATACATTGCAAAAATCAGCTTTTTAATATTTTGTTTCAATAATAATTAGAATCAATTGATTCAAAAAATTTAAACCATCCTTTCCAAGTTTTGGCATTCATGTAAAATGAATTAGGAGACACTTCTGTTCCTTGGGAGAGTTTCTGTGAGAACAGATTTCCCCTCCTCCCCCCAAGTTTCACCATGGCTAGCTCTCTGAAGCTCCAGCCATCCTACAACCTAGATGGTTTTACACCAGAAATGCATGACTGACTTATAATTTAAAAATGAGTATAATCTGTCACATTAACAGATCGAGGAGACACAGATCTGTTCTCAACAAACAGAACATGCAGGTAATGAAATTTAACATTTATTCATCATTTAAAAAAAAAACCTCTCAGCTATTTAAATCTGCATGGAAATTGGATCTGCTGGAAGACAGAGTGAAAAAGAACACAGCAACAGGGTAATGTAAAGTAAAACACTGAGGTTTTTCCTTTGAAATCAGGAAGACAGGATGTTTGCTATTCCTCTTTCTGTTGAACTGGCTCTCCTAGGGAGCAGAACATGGGGTATAGGCAGGAAGGAGGGAAACAAAGCTGTCATTATTGAGAGATGACAGAACTGTGTATGAAGAAAAGAAAAAGAAGCTGGGTGACAGGTATGTGTGAGTTCAGTGCATTCTTCAGTTTACAGCCCTGGCTGGGCGGCTCAGTTGGTTGCAGCATGGGCCCCTCCAAGTAAAGGTTGTGGTTCCACCCCCCGTCAGGACACATACCCAGGTCCCAGGTTTGATTCTTAGTAGGGGCATGTACAAGAGGCAACCAATTACATCCATGTTTGTCTCTCTCTCCCCTTACCTCTCTCTCTAAAACCAATAAGCACATCCTCGGTGAGGGTTAAAAAATATTCTTCAGTCTAATTTCCTACTGGTTGAAAATTTTAATACTAAGAAGTTACAATTCTCTATGAGTAAATAAGAAAAGATACACAAAACTTCTGTGGACAAAACTCTAAAACTTCACTGAGAAGTATTAGAGGAAATCTAAATACTGGGTTGGCCAAAAAAATCTGTTTCATTTTTTTTTCAGTAAAATATGAGACACATTTTTTACTTTCACAAGTAACTTTACTGATTTGGATATTTTCAGTATATCAGCTATCTCCCACTATTGGCTTTAAGTGGGTAGAGGCCAGGGTGCTGCTAAACATCCTCCAATGCATCATAAGAAAGCCCCCCAGAAAAGCATTATTTGGCCAAAATGTCAATAGTACCAAGAAACTTCACAAACCAATTTTGACATGTCTGATTAGTCACAGCACCTTCTCCATACACCACACAAATCTTTTTTAGTGTTTCAGTTGCATTTTTAGCTTTCTTGAAATAATAAAGCATAATACATTGAAAATGTTGAATATTTTATTCCACCTTCAATATTAAAATCACTGCACAATGCCCTTGGCTGGCGTGGCTCAGTGGGTGGAGTACCAGCCTGAGAACTGAAAGGTTACTGCTTTGATTCCCAGTCAGAGCACAGGCCTGGGTTTCAGGCCAGGTCTCTGGTAGGGGGTGTGCAAGAGGCAACTGATTGGTGTTTCTCCCTCCCATCTCCTCTCTCTAAAATATAAATAAAATCTTTACCAATGAAAATAAGAATTTCCATAGCTGGTATGGCTCAGTGGATTGAATGCCAGCCTGCGAACCTACAGTCCCCAGTGCAGGTGTAGGAAGGCAACCACACATTGATATTTCCCTCCCTTTCTTTCTCACTCCATTGCCCTCTCTCTAAAACTGAATAAATAAAATCCTTTAAAAAGAATTTTAAAACTTAAGAAATAAAATGGCCACACAAAATTCACCAATTTTCATAAGTTTTTTTTTAATTCAGGCTGATATGACAGCTGTCACGATACAATCTAACAATACATTTGGAATGACGTTAAAGACAACTAAGCACTACTAGAGCAATTGTCCAGGAAAAAAAACAAACTTTTTCGCCAACCCAATAAATGGAGAGATGCACCTGACCATGAACTGGAAGACACATCAAGTCTTTCCAAATTTATCTATAGCTTCAATGTACTCTCAATCAAAATTCCAAGTTTTGTGGAACCTGACAATATGATATTAACATTTTTATGAGAATATGAACTGTCAAGAATATCTAAAACACTCATGAGGAAAGACAAAGTGGGAAAACTTGCCCTACCAGGTATTAAGACTTACAGTATACTACAGTGTGACAGATATAGTATAGAGAAAGGGTAGGCAAAGATTTTAATAGAACGGAATAAAGAGTGTGTAAAGCTCTCCACTACATGGACAAGGAATATATGGAAAAGGAGGCACTGAGCCAGATGTGCTGCTCATTGCTCCTGTGTGAATCCATTTATGACGTTCACTTATGCCACTCCAGAAAAGGCAAAACTACAGAGATGGCAGACAGACAGTGGTTGCCAGAAGTTCGGAATGGGAAGGGTTGCATAGGTGAAGCGCAGGAGACTTTTTAGGGCACTGAAACTACTGTGTGAGGGCAGATACGTGATACAATGCACTCATCAAAACCAGTAGAGCTTTGTAGCAGAAAGAGTGAACCTTAATATATGTAAACTTGTAAAAATGATTTAGGAGGTCAAGGGATCCCCAAAAAATATGCAGACTGTGAAAAGGGACTCTAATAGCATTACAGAAGTACAAAACATCCTTCCTGAAAGGGGTGGGACAAAAGGCGTCGTCCTAAGTCACTTTGAAAATGGGGTAAGACTGAAGGTAAACAACTGTGTGTCAGCACTGCACTGAAATCGATACCTGTTTCCCAGGGAGCAATGGCTTTATACTTGGAAAGACCTACATGTGTGTGAGAACTGGACAACTAAGTAAATAGGGAGTCAGGTATTCCATTGATGGAATGAGAGGTGCCAGACAGCAAGCACAGAAAGAATGAGCCACATGGTAATGGAATCTAATTAGACAGTATGAACTCATGCATGATAATATAGACAACAGGTAGATACATATAAAATATTTAGAGATAGGGTTTAGAGTGGGGATTAGTACACGTACATATATTTCCTTGTTCCTTCAGCCCAGAGGGTTGACAGAACACTCACACACACAACACCCAGTTTGTGGTTTCTAGGACATCCTCCAACAAAAGGATCCAGGGCTCCCTGGAGAAACCACTGATTCTAGGACTGACACAGGAAATATACAACATGTGCCTGAAGCATCTTGAACAGCCAGAAAGTGAGTGAGTGCTGAAAACAAAACAAAAAAACAACCCCACCCCCCAATTTGGGGGCATGTCCAAAGGCCACAGGGAACCAAGTGAAAAGAGCTCCTGAAGGCCAAACTCAGACAATCAAAGCAATACAATTACTAAAGTGGCACTGCATTATAGCCCAAAATATAAAACAAATGTCTATGAATCCTTGTTGATATAAGTGAGTAAGTAAGTTAATAGAAGGGGAAGAAGAGACAAATCTTCCATGCAGAAGAATTACAAAACATTTGTGTAAATACTTTGCTCTTCAAGAGGTGGAGCACAATCCCCACTCTTTCAGTGTGAGCTGTGCAAAGTGACAGCCTTCCAAACAGTACAAAATGAAAAGGAGGGAAACGAGTAACTTAACAGTGTAGAAACCTGAAAACACGACCTCAGCCAGCTGATCAAGATCATCATTGACAGTGCTGACTCATGTTCATGACACGTTTCCTTAATATGGTGTGAAGAAAATGGCACATTACCGCTCCTGTCTAATCATAGCAAAAACATCAGGCACATGCCGTAAGAGGGGCATGCTACAAAATGCCTGATGAGTGTGCCTCAAACTGCCAAGGCCGTCAAGAACAAGAACAAGGCAAGGCTGACGAAAGTGTTACAGTCAAGAGGAGCCTAAGGGGACACGACGATGAAATGTAATGTGGTGTCCTAGATGGGACCCTCGACAGAACAAGGACATAGGTGAAAACTAAGAAATGTGAATAAAGTGTCATTTAGAGAGGCTTGGTAACTGGCCACAGATCACACATCTGGGAAGAGAGGTCTCAGGACCCAGACCCAGAGCAGTCTGACTCCAAGGCTAGCACTGCCTTTCTTTATCAGAAACAAATGAAACAGATAACACTCAAATGTGGGCTGGCAGACATTTCAAGCTGAATATTCGATATCATGACTACCACTATGCCCTCTGCAATTCCATCTTTTCACCAAACTCTCGTCTTGTAGCCTACTGAGAGTTCAAGAGCCTGATGACTCTTGAAATGCCAAGAGCAATAGCTGATCTTTTATTATAGCTCTTGTGTATAACATCAACGACTTTTCTTATGTCTTTAAAGAAATTCACTGTCACATTCAAGACACCTTGAAAATGGCCTTCTTCCTTTGCATGCTTGGGTACCAGATAAAATGGCTGCAGTCTCAGGTCTCTCCTAACTTTCCTTCCAAGCCAGCCTTGGATGCACAGGCCTTCCAGGGTGCTCGCGGGCCAGCTGCTTTTCACTTGCAAAGCCAAGATTATATCCACAGATATTTCTTTAGGTTTTCTAATAAGAAGTGTTACAGCAGGACACCCTCTCTTCTTCCTCTCCATAATGACATCTAGATCTGTTTAAATATATAAAAGGAAAAAAAAAGGATTTATCAATCTAATTTCTTAAAAATAGAGGAAAAACAATAAAACTTTAATTGGAGATCTATAGAGTGTTAAGGAGAAAAGTAGTTTGAAAACAGAAACTGACCCCTAAGGCAAGGTGTTTCACTCGCTCAACCAGCACTCCCTGGCACTGTCACGGCGGGAGGCTCTGTCGAGAATCTGTCTGGCATGCATGATGGGAGTGCCTGAAGACTTCGGGCTCTGGGAATGCTTTGATTAAATTTTCATTTACATTGGTGAGTGGCAGTTTGGAGGGAAGCCTGGAAAACAGGCCAGATGGGCAGCAGGAAGGAGCAAGGTGATCAAGAAGACCACAGAGGAAAACATGAGGGAGGGAAAAAAAGACCACAGCCATGGCCGCACAGGAGCCTGGGAGCCTGCGGTAGCACAGAGCCAGGGGGCACGAAGACACAGGGAGCAAAGCCTGAGTCACTGCGGCATGACTCATCACAGGCAATAATGGCAATGACCTAGGAGTCCATCCATGGGTGAATGGATAAAGACATTGTGGAAGGGGGTAGGATGGAGGGTGGGAGATGGGTATCTGTGGACTGGGGGGGAGTGGTGGAAGGAAAATGGAGACAACTGTACTTGGAAAACAATTTAAAAAATTAAAAAAAGAAATTGTGGAATATATAGGCACACCTTGGAGATATTGCAGACCATTGCAATGAAGTAAATATTGCAATAAAGCAAGTCACATGAATTTTTTGGTTTCCCAGCAAAATAGAAGTTATCTTTACACTATACTGTAGTCAATTAAATGTGCACAAGCATTATGTCTAAAAACCCATGTACATGCCTTAATTAAATAGTTTACTGCTAAACACTGCTAAAGCATCATCTGAGCATGTTGGAAAAATAGCACCAACAGACTTGCTTGGTGCAGAGCTGCCACAAACCTTCAATTTATAAAAACGCATTATCTGAAGTGAAATAAACAGAAGAGGAATAAGCTGAGGTATGTCTGTATATACAATGGGACAGTATTCAGTTTTCACATATAAAGAGACCCTGGCATATGTGACAGCATGGATGAACCTGGAGAAAATAAGCCAGACACAGAAAGGCAAATGTTGCATGACCTCACTTATATGTGAAATCTAAAAAAGTAGAAAACACAGAAGCAGAGAGCGGCATGGTGGTTTACAGACAGAGGTGGGGCAGTGGGGGAAATGGGAGATGTTGATGGAAGGGAACAAAGGGGCAGTTAGGAAGGTGAGTCTAGATAGCTAATGCACAGCATGATGCCCGGCATTAATACTACATCCGCACACTGGAACCAGCACAGAATTAAATACTGCGCTAAGAGAGTAGGTTTCAGGTACTCTCACCACACACAAAAAGAGCTAACTATGTGACATGGCATGTTAATTAGCTTGTCTGTAGAAATCATTTCACTATGTATATGTATATTAAAACATCACATTGCACATATTACATAAAGGGTTTTATTTTTTTCAGACACAGGAAGCAGAAATGAGAACAATTAAAGAGATTCAAGTCAGCAGCACTGGCAAACAGACTGAACCTAAGAGACAAGGGAGAAGGCAGGAGTCCTGGCATGCGCCGCAGGGTTTCAGCTCCGGAAAGGACTGGTGCTGTTTCCATTTTCCAATACAGACTAGACTGAGCAGGAGCCTCCTTTCAGACACACTGAGCTCTACGAGCCTGGGGGACAACCAAGAGGAGGTGGCCACAGGACAAGTAGTTATGGTGGTCAGAAATTCAGGAAAGACCTCCAGATGACAGATACTGGCTTTGGGATTTGGGGGTGTACAAGCAATAGCTAAAGATTCTCCCAGATAAGACTTCTGGAAGAAACCACAGTGAGAAAGAGGATAGATCACCAAGGAGAAAAGCCTACAGAACACTCTCGTTTTCTTATCATACACCTGCAAACCTACTCTCACCTTACCCATCATACCCTTCTTCCTTCTATGACCACCTAGGAAGTGTCCGTGCATCTTTCAAGGCCACCCTGCACATGGCCTCTGGATCCTCACTTCCTCAAGCATCTTACCCCTTCAGTTGTTCCCACTCCTGCATCAGTGGACTCCCCTGCACTGCTGGATCATTTCTAAGTGCACACAAAGGGTCCCAGTGTTTCTCATTCCAAAATATTCCTCTCCTTTACTCTACATCAGCCTCATCCCCATACTTACCCATCTCTCTACTTCTCTCTCAACCAAAACTTTCTAGAATTGCCTACGCATGCTGTCTCTACTGCATCCCTGCCCTTTTTCCCTTGTGTGCTCATGACCCTCCTGAAACTGCTAAGTCAAAGTTCCCAGCAATCCCACAAAACCAAAGACCAAATCCAATGCTTTCCTCAATGCCAGCAGCATTCTAGAAACTGGCCACTCCTCCTGTAAACACTTGTCTCATCTGGCTCCTTCTCTTCCCCCCAACTTCTAATGGGATCCTCTTCCTACCCCTCTACTTAACATTCCAATTTCTCCCATCCTGACCCCTCTCACCCTGCTATACTTTTCCCCACAGAACTTAACTACTTTTGAATACGCAAGATAATTATGTTTCCATTTGTTATTAGTTACATATCTGCCCTCATGTCATTATAAAGTACAGAAGGGTGAGGGTCTATTCTATTTGTTTGTTAATATATGCCAAACATCTAGACCCCTGTCACAGTACATAATCAATGAATATTGATTAAATTAATGAATAAATTAATCCACACTCTCTGCCTAAGTGATCTCATCCTTTCCCAATACCACATATATGTTGACATGCAGCCCAAATGTATCCCCTGAACTCCAAACCCATATGCACATACATTCTTGACACATTCACTTGAACATCACAGGAGTCTCTAACTTAACATGTGCAAAGCCTGCTCTTCATTTACTCCCCCAAAATGCGCTCCTCCTCCCCCATCATATCTTAGTAAAGGACACAGTCTACACAGGTGCTCCATCCAGACACCTGGGAGCCCTTTCCAGTCCCCAGCTCCTCTCACCCCTGCACTTAGTCACAGCTGGGCTGTGTCTGCCTCCCTCCAGCCCCATCACCCCCCCCCCCCCCCCACCCACATCTTTCATTTGAACTGTCACAGTATTTTCATTTCTAATCTTATTTGCCTTCTTACAACATCTTCTCCTTAGAAGCCAGAGTCAAGTTGTAAAAATACAAACCCAATCCTTATTTTGTTATTAAAACCTGGCTTCTCAGTGAACATGTAATAAGATCTGAACTCCAGTCCAGGATCTACAAGTCCCGCCAAGGGCAGGTATTTTTTATAGTTTCTTAAATAACAAATCCTGACTACACCTGGTCCCTGGACTCTCTTCCACTTCATTTCACATCACTCTTCCCCTTGTTCACTGGGCCTCTTCTTGCTTCCTGAGCTTGCCAACCTCTTTGCTTCCTCAGGGCCTTGCTCCACCATGCAAATTGCTACCACTTCTCCCAGTTCATTCCCTTCAGAAAACCCGCTGCAATTTGTGGGTACAAGTTACGGGCTTCCAGGGGGGATGCCGTGATTTCATTCAGCCACATGTGCTCAGTGAATACACTCAATGGAGACCAAGACAGAGCCAATCAACACTGTAAAAGAATACCGACAAAATGTAGTAGAATAAAATCAAGAGCAAAGAGTTGTTGCTAGGAGGTGGTAGTCAACAGTGTGTCACAGAGAGGGCAACAAAGATCAGGAGAGGAGCATACATTGACAATTAGTAGGTATGATTTGACCTTTAAGAATCAAAAGTCAAAAATCTTACCTTCAATGTTTTTGATTTCTTCCTTAATGATTTCCCTAAACTTAGACAGCATCTTTGAAGCTGATAATACTTCATTTTCTAAAAACTGACTCAGAGGATTTCCTTTGGGATTTCTTTTGAACTTCACAAAGTAATGGGCACCACTGTTGTGATATTCTTCCAGCTCAATTCTGGGGACATCCAGTTTGAACATAATATCAAATTCATTAGGAGAAGAGACCTAAGACAAAGTAAAAGCAGCAGTGAAATGTTGGCTTGTGAATATTTTGCAGCAACTGTAATTCTCTTAAAATTTTTCAAAGCAAGACTCTTACTATTTACACCCTTTGGGAATGGGGCTAGTGGACTGGGAGAGTATTATTGGTTTTAGTTTGTAGTTTCTCTACTCATTGTTTTTGTCACCACGAGTACGAATGACTTTTGTAATTTAAAACAGTTTTAAATGATAGCATGTAAGCTTTTAAAACCTGTACTGGTTTGAGTCTGAGTTTAAGGCTTTATAATATTAAAGACGACTAAGGTGCTGGCTTCTACATCGAGAGACACACACTGCAGTCACCCTCCCATCACAATGGTCTCAAACACGTGTGTCCTCACCTGTGGTCCTGGCGCAGGGGCCGCCTCCCTGCATTGACTGATCACCCCAGTGAGTGGGAGCTCCAAGTCATGAACATTATTAGTGTCTTAGGACCACAGCATTTGTACGACCTTCGAAGAACCTTTTCCATTCTCACAATAACAATGATTAAAACAATCGTAACAAATGCTCGTCTGTACTATATGAAAACGCCGCAATCTTCTTCTAGGTAGGAGTGTGCTTCACGTGCAGCTACTGACTGCACTGTTCAACACGGCACCTGGTAGCCTCTGTCTACGGACCAAATGGAATGTTGCTACTCCAAACTGAGATGTGCTGTGGTGTATAACTCTCCCCCCAAAACTCATATATTGAACCTCTAACCCCCAATGTGTCTGTACCTGGAAACAGAACTTTCAGGATGTAATTAAGGTTAAATGAGATCATGAGGGTGGTAGGACTGGTGACCTGATAGGAAGAGGAAGGGAAAGACCGTACTCTCTGTGCCCACACAGCAAGAACACAGCGAGGACCCAGGGAGAGGGTGCCATCTCCCAGGGAGAGAGTCCTCACCAGAACCGAACCCTGTTGCCTCCTGAACTGAGAGAAATAAATTTCTGTTGTTTAAGCCACCCAGGCTATAGCATTTTGTTGGGGGAGCCCCACCCGACGAAGACATACCGTTAAAGCATAACACTTAAAGTGATGTCAGTGGGAATAAATTCAGAGTCTGCAAAATACACTTTTCCATAAAAGCAGTAAGAAACATGAGCAGAAATGGTCTAATTCAACTATTCCCAAATCCCGTAAATTAACTGACTACAGGTTTGTGATGATTCAAGGAAGATTTATTTAAGAAAAATGGCTGAATACAAAAGTTTTTAAAAAGAAAAAGAAAAATGGCTCAATGGTTCTGGTCAAGATGGAGGAGCAGGTGGATACTGTACTCACCTCCTCTCATGACCACATCAAAATCACTACTAAATTATAGAACAGTCAACCTGCAGGACCATCTGAAGACTACCTAGACAGAAGTCCTGTAACTAAGGATATAAAGAAGAAGCCACGTTGAGACTGGCAGGAGGGGCAAAGACATGAAATGGGCTGGCCTCATGCCCACGTGTGGCAGCAGGGAGTCTGGAGGGCTGTCTCAGCTGCAGAGGTTCCCCCCTGAGGAGTGAGGGATCTCAGCCCCATGGCAGGCTTCCCAGCCAAGAATACCAGGGGCCAGGAAGAGGAGCCCACATAACATCTCACTGTGAAAATCAGTGGGGATTCGATCCATCTGGGTGAGATGGAATGCAGCTTAAACCCAGGCATCCCCTTAAAGAGCTGGCACAGACTCTCACTCACAGGCACTCACCCTGTGCTCTGGCAGAGGGGCAGCAGCTCACGGGGCACCAGAGACAAGCAGGAGGCTTCAGAACTAGGGCTTCAGAACTAGGGCTGCATGGATGGCAGGGACAGCTGCTGTTGGCCCTGTGTTGAACCCTCTCCCCATATGACCAAACCTTCACTAGCACTACCCTGATGGCTGCCAGAACCCTGCCTGCCCCACCACAAAGGTCCATAGGCCCCAAGCGGGTGGCGGCTGCCCTCAGTGCACCATGAGACTTTTGCTGAGAGGCCTCAGGCTCAGCACTGGTGCCAAATCTGAATCTGCATTAACCTGGAAAACAGCACTTGCCCCAGCCTGCTGTGTCCCTGAGACCATGCCCCATCCAACTTGAATGCTGCCCAAGACTTTTCATCTGCTGAGTCTTACAGGCAGCTGGCAGGTGGTGGTAGTACTAAGGTGTCTGGTGTCTTTTGCTGCTCTCCCCCCAGGCCCAGTACTGTTGGCAGTTGGCCTCGGTTCACAGTAGGCCTCCCTTACAGGCATCCAGGCCCAACCCAAGCAGCTTCTGACACTGGCCCAGTACTGGACCTCCTCCCGAGTTCCCAGAACCAACACACTCGGTGTCAGACTTCAAACCACAACAGAGCACCACCCAATACCCTATTTTGCCATGTGTAATGAGCACTTTTTTGCCCAAAATTCTGAGGAAAAAATAATGATGTGCACTATACATGGGTATAATGATTATATACCATGGTATAATAATCCTGTGTATAATGAGCACAAAAAAGGGGTATGCATTATGTACAGCAAAATACAGTAGCTCCACAAGCAGCACAGCAAAGGGTAGTGTCAGCAGACACCAAACCCTACTGGGACAAATTCCACTATGTGGGGTCAGCCTCTACACAGCAGTTTATACACTGTGGTTATGGCCAATCTTCAGAGTCAGCCTAAGCATCATTCCCACCCACTGATATACCAACAGCAATCAAGACTCAACCAACAGGATGGCACACACAACTCACACAGGGGACACTTCTAAAGTATCTGGTTCAGGTAACCAGAAAGACTGTGCCACTGAAATAGCAATGTTTATATCGCATGAAGAGACTTTAAAATAAAAGCTGTAATAAGCTGTAATAAGAGAGGAGGAAGGACATTACATTATGATAAAGGGATCAATCCAACAAGAGGGTATAACCATAGTAAACATTTATGCACCCAACATAGCAGCATATAAATATACAAAGCAAATATAGATGGATATAAGGGGAAAAATCAACAGTAATACAGTCATAGTAGGGGACTTCAACACCCTATTGACATCAATGGATAGATCTTCCAGAAAGTAAATCAAACAGAAAATAGTGGCCTTACCTGGCACAGTAGACCAGATGGATTTAACTGATTATCTTCAGGGCATTTCACCCCAAAGAAGCAGAATATACATTCTTTTGAATTGCACATGGAACATTTTCTAGGATAGACCACACTGGGACACAAAACAGTCACAATAAATTTTAAAAGGCTGAAAGCCTATCAGCATCTTTTCTGACAACAATGGTACGAAACTAGAAATCCGTTACAAGAAAAAACTGAAAAACACACAAATACATCAGTTAAATAACATGTAACTAAAACAATGAAAGGGTTACAAAAGATGAAGGAAGAAATCAAAAGATACCTTGAGACAAATGAAAACACAATGACCCAAAATCTATGGGACATGGGGAAAGCTGTCCAAAGAGGGAAATTCATAGCAATACAGGCCTCCTTCAAGAAGTAATAACAATCTCAAATAAATCGAAGCTTACACATCTATAGAAAGTAGATAAAGAAAAACAATCAATACCCAGTCAATAGAAGGTAGGAAATAGTAAAGATCAGAGCATAAATAAACAAAGTAGAGTGTAAAAAATATATGAAAGATCAATGAAACCAAGAGCTGGTTGTTTGAAAAGATGAACAAGATCAACAAACCTTTAACCAAGCTCATCAAAGAAACAGTAAGATCATGGGCACTGGGGCCACCATCTGGTATTGAAGGAATAACAGAGAAGGAGCGTGAGAGCTGAGATAGGAAGGGTCCCCTGCTGCTCTCCTTGGGCCCAAGAGGGCCAGCTGGCTGGGCTTTGGGGAATGTTCCCTGATGTGCCAAGGGGAGTGCAAGTGCGATAATGCAGGGGTTGCCCGGCCCCATTCCCTGAGCTGGAGACTCCCCAGTGTGACTGCCACCTGCTTCCTCACCTGCCGAGGGGGAGGAAAGTGGACCAGACTCTGTGGCCCTAGCACACAGCCAAGGATGGATACTGAGGGGGGACACCTCCCTCAGGTTTTTTTAACTATTGTGTAAGCTGCAATGGAGCACATACAGGGGACCTAGAAGATGATCAGCAATGGTTTGGGACTCAAAGACTCAGTGTTTGATGGCCCAAGCTGCAATTGCCCCACAATAGTCCAGCAGTTTGGCTATCAGAGCCAAGCAACAAGACAAGAAACACTAAACCATGTTTTCTGGCCAAACAAGCAAAGAACGGTGGTCAATGTATGAAATGGTCTGAGCTTGCATGACTGCTTTAGGAAAGCACTCAGGGCAAGTGGCCTGCACCTGAGTGCTGTGCAGGGTCCAGACTTCTCCATGAACACAGAGGTAAAAAAGCACATTTAGATTGGAATACTGATGCTGCCTGGTTGATGGGAGAAGAAATTCAAGTAGATTTTCTGGATCATGTTTCCCTCCCAACACACAACTTTGTTCAGAAGATCTTCCTGAAGCCTGCCTTGTGTGACATGTAGCAGAAGTCCCTGCTAAATGGATTTCCATGTCAGACTTGTAGCTACAGATGTCATGAGCACTGTAGCACCAAAACACCTACTATGTTGTGGACCGGGGTAATGTCAGACAGCTCATTGCTTTCCAAATTCCACGATTAGTGATAGAGGGGTCTCAGCACTGCCTTCTTTGACAATGCATTGGATTCAAGAGTCTACTTCCTGGACGCCTGTCAGTTCCCAGCACAGGTACTCCACACCCCACACTTTCACATTCTATACCTCCAGGCCTTCCTCTGAACACTCCATCTCCCCTAGGCAGAGGTTGATGTCCACACCTAATGTCCACATGGTCAGCACCACCCTGTCTATGGACGGCAGGATGATTGAGGATGCAATTCAAAGTCACAGTGAATCAGCCTCACCTTCAGCCTTGTCCACAAGCCCCAATAATCTGAGTCCAACAGGCTCATTACAGCTCAAAACTCCAGTGCCAGAGACACTGGGCACCAGGATTTAGGACCCAGGAGCAAAACAAAATTAGGCCTTGTGGATGGAGAGATTGGAGCTATTACTGGGAAACAGAAGCCAGTGAAGTGATGCTCTCCACTTGGATTGGGTCAGGCTCCTCTGGGACTGTTTATAAGGGCAAGTGGCTCCGAAACATTGCAGTAAAGATCCTAAAGGTTGCTGACCCCACACCAGAGCAGTACCAGGCCTTCAGGAATGAGGTGGCTGTGCTGTGCAAAACACAACACATGAACATCCTGCTCTTCATGGGGTACATGATGAAGGACAACCTGGCGATTGTGACCCAATGGTGCGAAGCCAGCTGACATCGCCAGATAGACAGCTCAGGGAGTGGACTATTTGCATGCAAAGAACATAATCCACAGAGACATGAAATCCGTGGCTCATAGAGACAGGGAGGAGCAAGCCAGGCATCTCTTCTGGAAAACTATCGCAGTGCAGTGAAGTGCACAAGAAAAGGAAGTGTCCCCACATTCATGTTCCACAGTACCAAAGTACAAAGCCATGGTCTCTACAGTCCTGGGCTGTTTGGTGCATTATATTCAAAACTACCACTTGGACACCACACCACTCTCTCTAAATAAAAGCCCTTCCCGTGATAAGCATTCCTCAAAGGAACTGATGTTCAAAATTCAAAATCCACATGTCCTCCCCATAAGGGCTGGTTTTTGCATACTTTTATTTTCCCTCTGAGTGATTTTTCTTGCCCTAAAAATACTTATTTAGCCAACAGCCACAGTCCCGTATCATATATTACCAACAACAGCCACTGGTGCATGTGGAAACAGCTCAGCTCTCAAGCATGGGGCACGCAGGTAGGGAGCAGGACAAACCAGCATTGTCAGTGGCTTCCTTCTCCCAGGACCAGAGAGGGGAAAAAAGAAGACAACATGAAGTAAGAACCTGTGAGTAGTCTAGAAGGTCCTTAGCAGCAGCTTCTCTGGACAGGAAGCAGAAAGGTGGTGCCTGTTGACTCCCCTTCCTCCCCTGGTGGCTTGAGTGCCAATACAAAAAATGTTGAGCTAGTGTGATGCAGTTGGTTGGAGCATTATCCAGTACACCAAAAGATTGGGGGTTCGATTCCAGGTCAGGGCGCATACTTAGGTTGCAGGTTTGATCTGTAGTCCCAAACCACTGATTGCACATATAGGAAACATGTCTTACATTGATGTTTCTCTTTCTCTAAAATCAATAAACATAATTTTTTAAAAGAACAATTCCCAAAAAATTCAAGAGGAGGGAAGGCTCCCAAGCTCATTTTATGAGGTCACTGTTACCCTGATTCTCAAATCAGACAAAGACATCACACACACAAAATTATAGGACAATATCTCTGATTAACATAAATGCAAAAATCCTCAACAAAATATTAGCAAACCAAATTCAGCAATACATTAAAAAGATCATACACCCTGATCAAGTGAGATTTACTCCTAGGATGTGCAGTTGCTTTAATATCCACAAATCAATTAACATGATACACCACATAAACAAAAGAAGGGTACTAACCATATGACCATATCAATAAATGCAAAAAAGCATTTGACAAAGTCCAATATCCATTTATGATTAAAAACTCCGAGCAAAGTGAGAGTAAAGGGAATATACATCAACATAGTAAAGGCCCACATATGACAAACCCACAGCTATCATCATACTCAATAAGAAAAGGCTGAAACAGTTTTCCTTAAGATCAAGAACAAGGCAAGACTGTCCACTTTCACCACTGCCACTGTTCAGAAAACAAACTCCAATCAGGAACCTACTCCCAAACCTTTGATTTATACTGGAGTGATGGCTTTAATGACAACCACCCACAAACAAATGGAGCTGTGGAATACACACTTAAAAACAGTTACAGCTGATGTGTGGTTAGGAAGCATGCTTTTTAGTATCTGTAGGAGTTTTTCTCTTAAATTTTACAACACTTAACAACACTCTCTGTGAGCTTCCCATAGTATCTTTATAAGAAATTGGTAAGACAGACTCCCGGCCAAGACAGAAGCGTAGGTAGACACACTGTGCCTCCTTGCAAACCAAAAGAAGGACGATAATTTAAAAACAAAAACAACCAGAATTGAAAGGAAATCGAACTGTATGGAAGTCCGACAACCAAGGAGTTAAAGAAGAAACATTCATCCAGACCAGTAGGAGGGGCAGAGAGGACCCATGGCAAGGCCGTGGCTGGTGGAGCAGATGGTCCTACATTCATGCGCAGATAAACCAGGAAGAAAAACTGGGGAGCGGGATGGACTGCACAACACAGGGCTCCAGTGCAGGGAAATAAAGCCTCAAACCACTGATTGAAAACACCTATGAGGGTTGAGGTGCCAGCAGGAGAAACTCCCAGCCTCACAGCAAAGCTCATTACAGAGACCCACAAAGTCCTAGAATGTACACAAACCCACCCACCCGGGAATCGGCACCAGAAGGGCCCAATTTGCTTGTGGGAAACTGGGGAAGTGACTGAAATCCAGCAGAGAGCAGAGCAAGCACCACTGTTCCCTCTCGGACCCCTCTCCACATACAGTTTCACCACCCAGCTAGGTAGGTTTCCCCACCCCAGTGAACACCTAAGGATCCACCCCTCACTACAGAACAGGTGTGTCAAGACAAAAAAAAAATGGCCCAAGTGAAAGAACAGATCAAAGCTCCAGAAAAAGAGCTAAATGAATGAAGATAAGCAGTCTATCAGATGCAGAGTTCAAAATACTGGTAATCAGGAGGCTCGCAGAATTGGTTGAAATTGGTAACAAATTAGATTTAAAAAATGAAGTCTATGCTAAGTGAAGTAAAGGAAAATGTACAGGGAACCAACAGTGATGGGAAGGAAACTGGACTCAAATCAACGGTGTGGATCAGAAGGAAAAAAGAAATATCCAACCACAAAAAAATAAAGAAGAATTCAAAAAATGAGGAGAGGCTTAGGAACCTCTAGGACATCTTTAAACGCTGTAACATTGAATTATAGGGATACCAGAAGGAGAAGAGGAAGAGCAACGAGGTGAAAAGTTATTTGAACAAATAATAAAGGAGAACTTCCCCAATCTGGCAAAGGAAATAGACTTCCAGGAAGTCCAGGAACCTCAGAGAGTCCCAAAGAAGTTGGACCCAAGAAGGAACACATCAAGGCACATCATAATTACATTAGCCAAGGTAAAAATGAAGGAGAGAATCCTAGAAGCAGTAAGAGATAAGGGGACAGTAACCTACAAAGGAGTTCCCATCAGACTGTCAGCTGATTTCTCAAAAGAGACCTTACAAGCAAGAAGAGACTGGAAAGAAGTATTCCAAGTCATGAAAGGCAAGGACCTACATCCAAGATTGCTCTACCCAGCAAAGCTATCATTTAGAATGGAAGGGTAGATAAAGTGCTTCTCAGATAAGGTCAAGTTAAAGGAGTTCATCATCACCAAGCCCTTATTATATGAAATGTTAAAGGGATTTATCTAAGAAAAAATGTGAACAGTAAAATGACAGCAAACTCACCATTATTAACAACCACACCTAAAACAAAAACAAAAGTAATTTAAGCAAACAACTAGAACAGGAACAGAACCACAGAAATGGAGATCACATGGAGGGTTAGTAACAGGGGAGTGTGAGGGGGAGAGAGGGAAAAAAGGTACAGAGAATAAGTAGCTTAGATGGTAGGTATAAAGTAGAAAATAGGGGGGGCAAGAACAGTATAGGAAATGTAGAAGCCAAAAAACTTATATGTACAACACATGGACATGAACTAAAGGGGGGGATGATGGTGGGAGGGGGGAGTACAGGGCACAGGGGAATAAAGGGGAGAAAAAAATGGGACAAGTGTAATGCCGTAATCAATAATATATTTTTTGAAAAAAAAAAGAAATTGGTAAGACAGTGGGTTTGCGAAGGCTGGAGAGAGGGACTGGAAATATTTTTCCTTTGGAGTACATATGTACTCATAGAAAAAGTTTCTTAGACATATTAAGTTTGTGGATTTTTTCGCAGATCACTCCTAATCATCAAAGTCATGATCTGACAGTAACCACCAAGGATAGCACTGTGAGACAAACAAAATACAGGTCTGCTTGCATGAATGAATCTATACATTTGAATTCTCCCAATAGCAGTGTCTTACAGTGGCTAGCAATCAATATGGGCAGGCTCTGTGTTCGCTGGGTGTAGTACTGAGTAAACGGACGCACAACTGTTCGTTGTTTTAATTAGAACTGAGGAACTACAGTCGGAGTTTCTTCCAAAGGAAAGTGAGGGACTGTGGGAGGTGGGAATATCGGGGGTGCTGGGAGAGGGGTGAGGAAGCACGGCCGCGCGCCTGGGGCACAGTAGTGGAGGCGATTGCCAGCTCACCTTCACTTGCTCGTAGTAGCTCCCAGTACACAGCTTCTCCACAAGCTTGAACTCGGACTGGGAGCTCTGCAGTCTACGTAGCAGGTGGTCCACGAGCTTGTTCACGACCTCAGCTGCTGCTGAGATTTCACAGCGTCTCAGCTTCAACTTATCCAGCACGGCCCTGGGCTTCCAGCTGCAGGATGATGCCTCCCTCCAGGCGAGATTAGGCGCTGGGACCAGCAGGTGCTGGCCGGGGTCCTCCATAGGCCAGGGCTGGGATTTCTGCTCCCGAGCAGAGCAAGCGCCCCTCTCGCAACCGGATCCAACCCTGGGAAGGGGCGGCTCCCGGGCCGCCGGTGGCTCAGGCAGAATCCTCGGCCCATCCAAAAAATCCTCGGCGCTCAGAGGCGCCTTCTGAGTGCGCGCACCCCGTGCGCGTACATGCGGCCTTTCCTGGGGGCCAGGGGCGCTCTTTTTCCGCCGGGGTGCCGACGCCCTGGTAGGGCAGCACATCTGCTCTTCCGGCTGGGCAGCGTCGGGGACTACCAGACACTCGCTGGGCTTCATCTGGGTGGGATTCCTCTCGGCGGGCTTCGTCGGGGCAGCTTTCGTCGGGGCAGACTTCGTCTGAGCGGGCTTCGTCGGGGTGCCCTTCGTAATCTGCACAGAAGCCGTGAGGGTGGAGGCTGCGGCCTTCGAAGCTGAGCGCGTTGCCCTTCTGTGCTGAGGATCCATGGCTGGCACTCTCTGCTACCCGTGTCGAGACACCGAGACGCCGCGGGAAGAGGAACGAGCAGTCTCGGAAATGAAACTTAAAACTTGAAAGTCTGGCGGGAACACCACTGACCAGGAAGCACGCAAGAAAGGTGAACCCACGCTGGGAGGTCACGGGGGCCACGCCCCCACCGCGACTAGACAGATCGCCTAGGGCCAAGGAGGGATGCTAATATTCTGCCTCTCCAGTGTCAGCTATGGAGTGGCAGTGTCTCCACTGCCTCAAAAACCTAACCCGAAAACACTCAGGAGTATTCACAGCCAGACGTACTTGCTGGCATACTGCCTAAATGAATTTGGCTTTCTTGTGCATTGAAATTTACAAACTTTTTCAATGTTAAGTTTTTTAAAAAGGGATTTTATTAATGGGAAAAATAAAATGTTCACCTATTACAACACTGGAAGAGATTAAGATTGACTGTAATTGGAATAAATATTTCTTTTTATGGAATAATATTTATTTTTGATTTCTTAAAAGCACACACAACTTTTTAAAAATGGTATGAAGTTCTTATTTGTGAGTTTTATCCATTGCTTCTCAAAAACTCATAAAAAATTATACATCTTAAATAATCCCTGCTGCATCGGCTGTTCAGATTCCAGAGTTCTCAATACAGGCTTTCAAAAACCTATGTCTAAAATCGAACCCTTTATAGGTATACATATGAGACAGGAACCCCTTGAGTTTAGAATGCCTTGATTAATTCTTAATACCACACAGTTCAGTGACATTAAATACATTAACATAGTTGTGAGGCCATCACCACCATCCATCTCTAGAACTCTTTCTTCATCTTGGACAATTGAAATGTTCTACCTATTAAACACTAACACTCCAGTCCTCCCTCTCTCCAGCCCCTAGCAACCACCCTTCTACTTTCTGTCTCTATGAATTGACTGCTCTAGGTACCTCATGGAAGTGGAATCACACAGTCTTTGTAACTGGCTTATTTCACTTCAGATAATGTCCTCCAGGTTTATCCATGTTGCTGCATGTGTCGGGTCTTCCTTTTTAAGGCTGAATAATTCCATTCTATGTATATACCACATTTTATTTATACATTTATCTGACAATGGATTGTTTAAAAGGCTTCCCTGAGTAGAGTAATTTGATATATACCTTCCTTTAGGACAGAGGTTTTCTTACACCTGGGTAGTTAGCCCTAGTTTGAATTGTGATACAAGAGATGTACTTTGTAAAATGGAAAAGACTGTTGTGTAGTTAGGCTTGTTTGCAAGCCAGCCAAGTTCAGGGAAGAGTAAAATCAGGGAAGCTGAAATTTGGAAATCCATTTCCTTAAAACTGCAAATGTACTTGAGCAGTATTCTGGGATGCCCAGGGGTATGCCTACTCAATTCCCACCCCCCCCCAACCCCACTCCAATTTTAGAGAAAAGGGAAGGGAGGGAGGGAGAAAGAAAGGACAGAAAAATCCATGTGAGAGAGAAGCATCAATTGGTTGCCTCTCACACGCCTCCAACCAGGGCCCTGGCCTGCAACCCAGGCATGTACCATGACCAGGAATCCAACTGGTGACCTTTTAGTTTGCAGAAGACACCCAACCCACTGAACCACACCAGTCAAGGTGCCTGCTCCATTCTGAAGTCCTCTGCTCTATGGTTCTAATTTTTCCTCCAAGGGTTCCAGTTGCTTGTTGTGGAATCCAGTAAATGAATCTACAGGTAGCTTAATGCTGTCTTCCAGCCATTTCCAAAGTCTTCAAAGGTCCACTGGTGTTTGCTTATCCAAAAACACGTAATGACAATCCACTGGGCCAGAATTAAACACCTCTGCTGGGGCCTGTCAAAGGAGGAAAACGTCCTCCTTGCTCAATCTGGCTGCAGCAAACAGTGTCCAGATCATAGAGGGAATGACTTTTCAGTTAAATCTTGATGTGAATCTTGGATTTTTAAAAACGATTTTATTTATTTATTTTTAGACAGAGGGGAAGGGAGGAAGAAAGAGAAGGACAGAAACATCACTGTGTGGTTACCTCTTGTATGCCCTCAACTGGGGACGTGGCCTGCAACCTAGGCATGTGCCCTGACTGGGAGTTGAACCAGCGACCCTTTAGTTCACAGGCCACCACTCAGTCCACTGAGACATACCAGCCAGGGCCTGGATCTTGGACTTTATCTAGAAGAAAAATAAAAACCAAGAGATTCGTTTGTGGGTATACATTTTCCTTACTTGACTTTACATTTTATGCTTTATGTTTCATGTTTGTCTCAGTAATTCACTTACACACTCAACAAATACTTGAGTGCCTACTATTCTAGGTTCTTGGCACATACTGATAAACAAAGATTCTTGCCCTCCTGGAGCTTGCATTTTGACATGGAGAAACACAATGAATACAATACATATGTTAATTATGTGATAGAAGATGATAGGCTGTACTGATAAAAAAAAATAAAAATAAGCCCCTGGCCAGGTAACTCAGATGGTTAGAGCATTGTCCCAATATGCCAAAGCTGCAGGTTTGATCCCTGGTTGGGGCACATACAAGAATCAACCAATGAATGCATAGATAAGTGGAACAACAAATCTATCTTTCTATCTATCCATCTATCTATCTATCTCTATTTCTATCACTCCTTCCCTTCCTTTCTCTCTCCCTCAAATCAATAAATAAAATTTTTTTAAAGAAGAAAAAAATAGTGCAAGAAGGATCAGAAATGAGGAATGGCACAATACTAAAATACACGGAGAGTGACATTTGAGCAAAGAATGAAGGAGGGGATACCCAGGGAAGAGTATTCCAGGCAGAAGGAAAAGTTAATGCAAAGGACTTAAGGTGGGACTATGCCTAGTTGTTCAAACAAGTGTGGCTGGAGCTTGTGAAGTATGAGATGTGTCAGTTATAGCTTATTGTCTCTCAATTGCAGGTACACCTTTTTAATATATGCTTTACACTAAAGAATTCTACACTAAAGAATTCTTCTAAACATTTCTATTTTCAAGTGCCCACTATGTTAAGCTTTCTCAGTAGAGGTTGCTGAAGGGACGTTGCAGGAGGATGAAGTTTCCTGCAATTTCCAGCACAGTGGAAGGAGTGGAAGGGGGCTGAGTGAGGAAAAGGCCTTGGGGGTATGAGAAAAACTGACAGAGCCTATCCCAGGCACAGGCCCTGAGAGTGATCCTTTTGGGATCTTGCAGCCTGGGCCTGGCCATAACCTGTCTACAGCTTACTAGACCAGGAAACCAAGATTTCTGTCAGGCCTGTGGTCCAGAGAGTTACTCAACACACCAGGTAGTTGGTCTTCCTGCAGGCCCGGTGTGCAGCCCACCTATGGCCCAGGAAGTCCACACAGAACTCCTGTTCACCCTGCAAGCCACTTTGTGTAGCCCATGCTCTCTGAAGGCTTTCTTCACTTGAGATCTGAACCCATCTCAAGTTGATTCCTCCTTGGGTACTCTCCCTCAACCCTAGAGTACTATTTAGAGATTCTTTATATCTTATACTTATTCTTTTATTATTACTACTTATTCTTATATTAAATATCTCCTGTTTAATCTACTGTGTGATTTCTATTTCCTGACTGGACTCAGACTGCTACAGAATTGATGTTAGGAGTAGTCCCAAAAGACAGATCCCCTAAAGGTGGGATTGGGGGATTGGTTTGCTTGTGCCCTTGGATTTGAGTGCAGTACTCAAGGAGGAGAAAACATCAAAACAGATTGAGAAGCAGTGGCCAGAAAAATGGAGGAAAACCAGAATATCTTGTTGTCTTGGAAGGCAAGCAAAGTATATCAATAAATGGCTGTGAAGGAAAAAACATTAATGTATAAAATCTTTATGTTCTTGTCTATTGTAACTGTTCCTATTGCCTCAAATGATATTCTTCTGAAACACGAAACACCACAAAGGTTGTAGGGAAATGGGGGTACAGAGCAAGGGAAGAAGGAAACATGTATCAGGCTAAGGGAACAGCAAAGGCAAAAGGAAAGAGGCCAAGAAAGATATCTGGAGACCAGATAATAAGGGTTCTTCACTAACTTCTCTGTACTTTTATGATGAATTATTTAAAGTAAGCTCCTCTAAGAAGCAAGCATTCCCCGTCATCTGCCATGAACAGGATCACTCTCTCTGCAACCTCTAATTGCAGCTCACTGTGGCTTTATCCTTTTACTGCATTGCCTCATAGCTGTGTGTCCAGTTAATAGACTGCTAACTCTTTGAGGACAAGGACTGGGATTATTCATTGCTATAAGTCCAACCTTTCTCCAAAATGGTAATAAAATTGACCAATTTATAACTGCCCTCTTTTTTCTTCTGTTGCTTATACCCTGCCTAAATTGACCATGAAACTGTGCCTCTCAATAGCAAAGATGTGATTTTCTACTTTTCTTATTACTCAACAACTAGTAGATATGAAATTAACTAGAGTAGAAGGAAAGGAAATTCATTAACAAGCAAGTTATCTGTTTTTAAAAATATTATCTGTAAGGTCCAAATATTTTCTGGTGACATATTTTGTATTCTTCTTTTTCGTAATTCTCTTCTCTATAATCATGGTAGTAAAATAGGCTTTTATAATCCAGGGACCATAATACTGTGTTTCTAGGGGTTCTGTAACTTCAGTCAATCATCTATTAACATAGATAGATAAAACAGTGCAAGTTAAGATCAAAGAGGATTCCCTTAACTCATAAAAAGGATGTGCAGTAAAGGATTAACTCAGCAGATTTAGGGTGTTCAGACTGTGAGCATGCGAAAGAAAGGACTGGCACCTGACAGACTTCTGGGAGCTAACTTCTAAGCCCATGGAATATCCTAGCTGGTAAAGTGTCTTTGTATAGCCCTGGCCAGGTAGCTCAGTTGGTAGGGTGTAGTCCTGATACACCAAGGTTGTGGGTTCAATCTCTAGTCAGGGAACATACAAGAATCAACAAATGAATGCATAAATAAGTAGAATAACAAATTGATGGCTCTCTCTCTTTCTCTATTTCTGTCTCCCCTTCCCTTACTCTTTCTGTAAATCAATTAATAAATCAATTATGGAAGGCAAACAATTCAATTAAAAAATGGGTAAAGGACCTGAACAGACACTTCTCCAAGGAAAAAATACAGAAGGCCCACAGACAAACGCTCAACATTTGAAAAAATGCTCAACATCAC